TGTTGTGCCTTTTGGTTTTGTGTGTGTACAAATGACACCCACTAGCCAATCGTCCCCTTATGGTGCGTTGATGCCGACTGTTTGTCAGTTGTTTGCTGGGCTTATTCCGATCAGCAGTGGTCCATCTGTTAAAGTCCGTTCACTAGCAGGGGCCAAGTGTTGTGCCTTATGGTTTTGTGTGTGTACAAATGACACACACTAACCAACCATCCCCAATGGTGTCTTCACGTCCCCAATGGTGCGTAGATGCCGACTGTATGGTAGCTGTTCGCTGGGCTTGTTCTGATCAGCAGTGGTCTATATGTTAAAGTCGGTTCACTAGTGGGGGCCAAGTGTTGTGCCTTACGGTTTTGTGTGTGTACAAATGACACCCACTACTGAACCGTCCCAAATGATGTCTTTACGTCCCCGATGGTGCGGAGATGCCGACTGTTTGGTAGCTGTTCGCTGGGCTTGTTCCGATCAGAAATGGTCTATGTGTTAAAGTCGGTTCACTAAAGGGGCCAAGTGTTGCAGTGTGCCTTACCGTTTTGTGTGTGTACAAATGACACGCACTAGCCAACCGTCCCCAATGGTGTCTTCAATCAATCAAATCAATCAATCAAACAATCAATCAATCCATCAACCAATCCATCAATCCATCAATCCATCAATCAATCAATCAGTCAATGAAAAACCAATCAAATAATCAAAACTTTTTTGTTCTATTTTAATTTTAACTTTTTTTCGGCACTCCGAAAACGACCCCCGACCCCCCCCCCCAAAAAAAAAAATCCAACTTTTTTTTGTTTGAGGGGGTAGGGTCGGGGTCCCGGAACCCCAATCCGATATCCCCATCCCCAACCCCCTCTCCCCTCGGCCGTTGTGGGTCGCCGCGGGCATGACCGCAGACTCGCGGGCCCGACCGCGGACCGTGGTCGTACCCGGGGCGACCGCGACCGCGGGGGATTCGTAGGTGTGTGGCACCCTACACCCCGACAATTTTAAACCTTTCTGTGATTGATACTGTTTTGTGCATACCCATCTTTCAGATGTAATTTCTCAGTGTCCTCGTTTTCTCACCGTCGCTGTTTGTCTCAATATAAAGCTGAGACAGATGACACAATTTTCTAAAGATTTTTCATTGTTTATTTAAATGGGAAAAGTGGAGTTGGAGTCGGAATGCTTATACACCATTTCACGATCTTATTGCATCGTTGTCAACAAGAAGAAAATCAAAAGAAACAATGCAGTGGAGGGGTTTAGGGTTTAGGGTTCAGGGTTCAGTGTTCAAGGTTTCTTGCATCGTAATGTTGCTCGTACTTCTACTCATGATGATTGTGAACATGATGATGATGACATTACCAACAGAAAAATTGTGGTTTTTTTTTTGGCCGGTTTATCATATGCGGTCACCCTTTTTAAACTGTTGGTTTCGTGTTAATAAATTGTTTGTCGGAGGTAGTGTCATGTGTTCCACCAAAAGTGAAGGAACTCAACGTTGATAACATATGTCATAAACATGTGATACTGTGTTAAACACTTTTTCAATTGATGAAAAGTTGTTGATAAGCTGTTTATAAGTTGTTGTAATGTTGCTTACAAGTTGTTTAAATGTGTTGAAATGTTGTTGAAATGTTGTTTAAATGTGATGAAATATTGTTGAAATATAGTTTAAATGATATGAGAGAGAGAGAGAGAGAGATGGCGTCTGAGAGAGAGAGAGAGAGAGAGAGAGAGAGAGAGAGAGAGAGAGAGAGAGAGAGAGAGAGAGAGAGAGAGAGAGTCATTCTCCCTCCCGTACTGAT